TCGAGCGTGAGTCCAAAATCTGGAATTTTCAGATTTGAACCTCAAGCTCAAAACTCAACTTTAACGCATCAAATTCGATCCTTTTGGGCTAATTTTCTGGAAAACTCTTGTAAACTCATAGTATAACATGTGTTTGAAGATCAATTTGCAAAATCAAAGCCCAAAGGTAGTTCAATTAAACACAATTTTAAAGAAAACTACAAGAACATAATTTAAATGTAACATGCATGTGTTCTAATGAATTCAAAGCTTTTAATGCATGCTCCAAAGAGCCAATCCTTCCAAAAACATGGTGAATTCGTGGATCATAACAATAATATAGACATGCATACAATAATTTCCATGAAAACAACTCTAAACTTCAAAATATGCACATGCATGCATGAATTGCAACTCAATTCAACATTCAAACCAATTCTTGGCTTTAAAACTCTAATCTTCTAAGAACCATGCAAGAACTAACTTGATTTCGCAATTAAAAGGATGAAATCCTTACCTAGGTTCCTCAATGTCAAGTCTAGAGGCTCAATTATGCAATTAACCTTCAATTCCTTTAATTTTCAAGCAAAACCTTCAAGTTGAACTCAATCTCTCTCTCTCTCTCTCTCTTAGTCGGTTCAAGCTCTCAAAATGGCTGAGGAAGTGTTGCATCAAAAGTGTATGAAGTGTGATTAAACAAGTCCTAGAATTGTCCACTAAGCATGGCAATTTGGTGAATAAGTCCAACTCTTGTATATTAGCATTATTTAATCCAATTTAAACATACCAAATCACATTTCAATTAAATATACTATAAAATCACATAAATTCCGATTAGCATAAAACATTAATCAATTTCGGATTCGGCCGCGAATAAGGCCTTCAATTTATAATTTGAAACTTAAAACACGAACAAATAATTCAATGACAAACAGATGGAAAGGCATTTAAACTAACACACTCAATCAATTAGCTCAGAATTTCAATCAATTCAATTATTTATCATGATCAATCTCAGTTTAGCAGTAATCAGTAGTGTTATCAGTAAACATTAGTGAAGGTTGTCACACCGTCACACTGGAATGTCACATTTAGAAAAAGTACACTAAAGAGATTTTAGTGTCACATCATACTCACCACATTAGAGTGTCACATTTGGAAAAAGTACATTAAACAGTTTTTAATTTTTTTATAGTGTTACATCATACCCGTCAAATTAAATTATCACATGTCACGTTTGAGAAAAGTACACTAAGAAATTTTTAATTTTTTTTAAAGTGTCACATCATACCTATCACATTGACACGTTTGAAAAAAATACACTAAAGAATTTTTATTTTTTTTGAAGTGTTGCGTCATACTTACTACGTTGTCATGTTTGAGAATAGTACATTAAGGAATTTTTATTTTTTTTAGAGTGTCATGTCATACATGCTTATGTTGTCACATTTGAGAAAAGTATATTACGAAATTTTTATTTTTTTAAAGTGTCACATCATATTTGCCATTGTCACATTTGAAAAGGTACACTGAGGAGGAATTATTTTTTTTAGAGTAAAAGTTTTGGAGTGTCACATTATAAAACTTTTTCTAAAAGTTTTTAGAAAAAGTACGCTAATTTTTTTTTTAAATTTTTTGGAGCAACACATCGTTGGAGTGTGATATTAATACTTGCCATATTGGAATATCATATCATACTTGTCATATTAATAAAGGGGTATAATTATCTATCAAAACACTACTAAAATAAAAAATAGGACCAAATAGAAAGAAACTCTCTGCTAATAGGACTTAACTGATCAATAGAAAAATTTTGGACTAATTAAAGTACTTGCTTATAAGATGAGGTTTATTGATAAATATCCCTTGTTTCAAAGCTGAAACCTTTAATTGTTTTATTATAAAATTTCCTTTATTTGTTTTTGGGACAATAATCATCATTATTTTCATTCTATCAATGTAAACTTCATATTTTTATTTATGTTTTAATGCAATTCATTTTGTCATTGGCATTTTAGATTGAAAAAATGGCACGTACAACTTAAATTAGAATTTTAATAACTTTGATCTACTTTTATTTATTTATTTATTTACACTGTAGTTTTATTGCCCTTATAATCTCTAGAATTTTGAATGTTAATAACAATTGGCAAAGAAACCATAACAGGCTTTAAAATATAAAATTAAAATAATGAAGGGGCAATTGCAATAAAATGATTGCTCTGGCAACACAAAAAATAAAAAATTTATTGATTTATTGGTTTATTTAAGTCATATTACCTCTCTATTTTTTTATATAATTTTTTAAATACATAAAAAATCAAAAAATAAACAAAGAACTTACGTATAGGTCCTAATAGGTAGACTTATTATCCAATATGTCGTGTGAGAATTAATGATATTTTTATCAAATACTATTCAAAACCATCATTAATTGTTAATTTTTAGTGACAGTTTAAAAACTTTGTCACAAAAAATGTCACAAATTATAAATTTTAGTGACGATTTTAAAAAATCATAAAAAAATGTCATTAATTTTTAATTTTTAGCAACAGTTTAAAAATTTTGTTACAGAAAAACGTCATTAATTGTAATTTTTAGATAATTTATAAAAATAATCCTATGTATTTATACTTTTATTCCCTGAGATCATTTTTTATTTATTTATATTGTTTGTTGGATTATTATATCTTTATGTTTATTGTTGATATGTATTACATAGAAAAAAAAAATGCATATTTCATTTTTATTGCTACTTCTATTTTGGTAGTTACCATGATTCATATTTTTCTTTTTGATTAGTTTAATTCACATTTATGGTATTGTTTCATTGTGCTAGGATTTGAAACTCTTTATTTGGTAGGGTTTAGAAATTCTAGTTTACACATGGTGGTGAAATAATATTATGTTTGTCCATTGTTGCGGTGAAGCTTTGTGTTCATCAATTGTCACTTTGTATTCGAACTTTTGTGTTCGTCCATTGTTACTCTGTGTTCGAAACTCTATGTTTCTCCATTATTGAAACTTTCTTTATATCCAGTCAATTTTGTTACAAACATATTCTTCAAAGATGGGTTTGATTTGATTTGGATTGATGGAATAGTGAAATTGCATAGATTATTAATTATAGTGGTAATGATAAAGATGATGATGAAGGTGAGGATGTGAGTGATTTTTTTTTTTTTTTTTAGAATGATTGAGTTTTTTTTTGAATTTCTAATTCTATTGCTGCCATTGTTTCTATTTTTTTTTTTTGTCAATCAGTATGAATGTTCACATTTCACATTAATTGAAAATCTGAAAAATAAGTGATTGAATATAGATATGGACATAATTATATCATATTGGTTATTTGTTATTTGTTAATATACTTGTTGTTTGAACAATCATTTTTTGTTACTATTAAACAATTGAAATAATCATTTTTTTCTTTTAATTTTGTTTCTTGTTGCAGTGTGAATGTTCACATTGGTATGAATTTAATTTTCTAAGGTTAGTTGTATATTAATTTAAAATTGTGAACATTCACATTGTATTTTAGTATGAGTTTTTTTTTTTTAATTTTTTTTTTGAAAGCTAGTTGTATTTTGTTATTTTTTTAATGATACTTGTTGGTTGAATAACCATTTTTGTTATTATTGAACAATCAAAATAGTCGATTTTTACTTTTTTCAATTTTATTTTATGTTTTAACGTTGTAGTGTGAATGTTTTTCATATTGGTATGAGTTTATTTTTATTTTTTAAAACTAGTTGTATATTAATTATAAATTGTGAACATTCACATTGAATTTTTGGTATAAGTTTTATTTTTTCAAAAGTTAATTGTGTGTTTGTTGTTTTTGTTACTATGCTTATTAGTTGAACAATCATGTTTGTTACCATTGAACAATTGAAATAATTGATTTTTACTTTTTTCAATTTTGTTTTATGTTTTCAGGTTGCAGTGTAAATATTTACATTGGTATGAATTATTTTTTTTAAGGTTAGTTGTATGTTAATTAAAAATTGTGAACATTCACATTGTATTTTAGTATGAATTTTATTTTTTTGAAGGTTAATTGTATATTTGTTGTTTGTTGCGAACATTCATATTATATTTTAGTATGTGTTTTGTATTTTCAAAAGTTAGTTATATATTTGTTATTTATTGTGAACATTTTTAGTATGTGTTTTGTTTTTTCAAAAGTTAGTTGTATGTTTGTTGTTTACTGTGAACATCCATATTGTATTTTGATTTTCATTCAGATTTTTTGTTGTGTTATTTTTAAAATTTTCAAATTATTATAAAAAGATTCAAAATTTAAAGTTTGATATTTTTTCCATAAAATGAGGGAGAGATTTTCTCCTTAGAAAGGGAGACATTTTCACCATGGAATAAAGAAAAGATTTTCTTTTTAGAATGAATGAAATATTTTTTTCATAAAATGAGGGACTATTGTTATGTATTAGTTTTAAAATCGAAACATATTTAAAAAATTAGAAAGAATGATTTATTTATATTATATTAAATAGGACTTAAAAGAATACTAAAAAAGAATATGAGTTAAATGAAATAAAACACTTAGAAAGAAAATTTATAAAAAAATGACCAAAAAAATTCACTAATTACTAATTTTTAATAATATATAAAAAATCATCACAAAAAATTATTTATAACAATGTTTTTTTTAATATTTATTTTCAATAGAATTAAATATAATTATTAAGGCCTATTAATAACTTCCCTAAAAAAAATAATAAATCATACCTAAACCAAAATGATAAATTTTGAGTTGATATCATTTTAAAATTAAGATGAAAACTACAGTATATCTAATTAAAACTCCATTCCAATTGCCACGCAACGAAACGCCGTTAAAATGCTCGCTCGACTACCGTCGCGTTGGTTGCACGCCATGGAAACTTCACTCGATGTTCGACGCCGTTAATAACAGAGCAAAGTGAACGCTCCTCTGCCGTTATCTCATCATCACGCGTGTTTATAAACCCTTATTCTTCTCTTTTTCACACCCATCAATACATCTCTCTCTCTCTCTCTCTCTCTCTCACATCCACATCTTCATCTTCATCTTCATCGTCGGTCTGTAAAATCTTCGGCGAGTTCTGTCTATTTATTCGATATATATTTCAGATCTAATAAGATCGACGGAAGATGGACTCGACGGCGTCGTATTGGTGTTACAACTGCACTCGCTTCGTTAGGGTTTCGCGTCAAGGCACCGTAGTTTGTCCAGACTGCGACAGCGGATTCATTGAGGCGGTGCATGCTTCTCCTCCTCCGCCGCCTCAGCCGGACGCCGCCGCGATCTACATGTTCGGCAGCAACCGCCGGCAGCGGCGGAACCACGGTGATCGATCACCGTTCAATCCGGTCATCGTGCTGCGAGGTCCGGCCGACGGCGGTGGCGATGACGGTGGCGGCGGAGAGCAGAGGAGCTTCGAGTTGTACTACGACGACGGCGATGGGTCAGGGCTCCGCCCTCTTCCGGCGGCCATGTCGGAGTTTTTGATGGTATCAGGGTTTGATCGATTGCTTGATCAGCTGTCGCAGTTCGAAATCAACGGGATAGGTCGATACGATCAGCCTCCGGCGTCAAAAGCCGCTGTCGAATCGATGCCGACGATTGAAATCGTCGACGGACACATCAGCTCTGAATCGCACTGCGCTGTGTGTAAAGAAGCTTTCGATCTCGGCTCTGAAGCTCGCGAAATGCCTTGTAAACACATATACCATTCAGATTGTATTCTCCCTTGGTTGTCTCTTCGTAATTCGTGCCCTGTTTGTCGCCACGAACTTCCCACCGACGCAACAGCGTCGTCGGAGCTCGAAATTGGAGACCCGTCTCGAGCCCCAAACGATGAAGAGGCGATTGGGCTCACCATATGGAGACTCCCAGGCGGTGGATTCGCTGTGGGTAGGTTTTCAGGGGGAAGAAGATTGGGCGGCGAGAGAGAGCTCCCTGCAGTGTACACGGAAATGGACGGTGGATTCAACAACAGCGGTGGTGGTGCGCCGAGGAGGGTTGCGTGGGGGTCGAGGAGGAGCAGATCGAGACAAGGCGGTGGTGGTGGTGGAGGGTTGGGTAGGGCTTTCCGTAATATGTTCTCGTTTTTTGGGCGATTTAGGGGTTCTTCTTCTGGTTCTTCATCACATTCGAGTATTTCAGAATCAGGGTCATCGATTAGGAGAAGTCAGAGTCACTCTGGTTCAGTTTTCAGTAGGTATATGAGGCGGCGTAGCAGAGCTTGGGTTTTGGAAGACAGGAATGAAATGTCTCGGTGGTGATTTTTGGTTTTCGGAGGAGAGTCAGACAAGAGAGGAAAAGTTTTTTCTGCTTTTGGGATTGGGTTCTCTTTTGAGGAAGGAATTGAATTTCTGGAACAAAAGAAGGCAGAGAAATCTTCTTTTAACAAAACTATATGTAAATAGAAACCCACGCGTAAGAATTGAATGCTAGTAGGAGTATTCCTAGTTAAAGTAGAGATATGGTTAATCTTTCATGGAATGGGGACCCAATTGCAGTAGCTGGAGAGTGATCAAATTTACACAAAAAAGTCACAGAATTGTTGGTTTTTGAGAATGAAGATTGGCCTTTTGGAAGAATTGGGAAGGTTTTGAAAAGCAAGAAGCTGTTTTGTTGCCACTATTTTACTAATTCTTTTGTTTTTTCATTGATTTGTATGGAACTTGTTATGAATCCTGTTAGATGATCTCCTTCCCTGTCCCTGTTTCTGAACTTGTTTATTGGGGATTATTTGTTTTGGTGGTGGTTCTTCGAACTCAAAGATCAAAATTACAACAAATTATTCTTTTTTTGGTACAAAGATTAAGGCTTTAACTTTTATGAAATTGACCCCTTTTTTTTTCTTTTCTTTTCTGGTCTGTTTCCTTTTTTATTTCTATTTTTTCCTCCCCTCGCTCACTTTAGATTCTGTGTCTTGGCCTTCTAAGAAAAGCACTCAGCTTTTTGCATGCCTGCTTATCATCAACCTTTGGGGAAAGATTTACTCATTCAACAGAAAGGGGAAAAACTGTGTCGAGTCAAAATAAGAGATCTACTTTATTACTAAAAATCCAATACCACTTTTTGTATGATCTGATTATTACCATCACGTCTGATCAGTTAGTTTATTTATTTAGTTTTGTATTTTTAATTTGGAGTTGTAAATGAGTCGATATAAATATAGTAGTAAGTTATTTATGTTTGAGTCGAAATTTTATTTCAAAACGCTTTTATGTTTGAGTTTTAATTAAGTTGAGTTGAAGTAATTTGATATTTATTGTGCATATAGTTGAGTCAAGTTGAGTAGTAGTTTGTTTAAATTTAATTTGAAAATTTAATAAATTTTGGAACGTGTTTAATTTTGACTTATTTATTTAATCAGCTAATTTTAAATGAAATTAAAAAAAAAAAAAAAAAAACTGGAGCTGGGGCTGGAATAACTGGGCTTATTTTATAACTCTACATGAATGAAATTGAACTCATAAAAAGAAAGAATGAAACAAAAATTTAAATGTGGTTTCAATTTTATTTAAGTAAATTTCAATACTCAAAAAAAATTACAAGGAATAAAAAAAAAATTAACAAAATGTTAACTAAACCATTCATCATAAATTCATCATTATTCAATATTTTCAATATTAAAGTAGTAACAAATAATCAAAACAATTTAAATAATGTAAAATTAGAAAATTATCAAGAATGTCAAATTATCAAAATATTAAGGTCATAAAAAAAATAATATAAACCTTACACTCAAGAAAACAAAATAAGTCGGAGAGACATGTCCTATAATCATAATTGTTTCTTATCACCACCGTAATTTCAACTAATTTTACAAAGGAAGATCAGTTCCGCTCAAACAAAATGCACCCGAGATGCCAAGAGACAAAACGGGTTAGCATACAAGTATACTAATATGAGTACAAGATTTGACACCCACGTGTTCACCAGACACAAACAAAAGTATATTTAATTTTTGTTACGGGACAAGACAAGTAGTACCACTCGCATTGAGACGAAGAGGTAGTTTCCCGAGATATAGTAACATTTAGTTTCTTGCCCATACACAGCTAAATATAAATTGAGTATAAAAAAAAAAATATGGTGGGTCAACCCTGCATAAAAAGTTAGTAAAACTCACAATTCTACAAAAAAATAAAATTAATATAATTTAATCATAAGTATATTACTGAAGAAGTATAAAAATGCACCGCTTCAAGCTTAAATCATTCGAATTGACCAAAACTCAAATAACAAAAGTTGTACAGAATTAAATTTCCTAAAAGGTAAGCGAAAGGATTTAGTAGAAATTGAACAGGTTGAGAGAAAAACTTGATAGAAGAAATTAGACAAAAATCGACCAAAAAACCTAAAACTGAAAAAGAATAAAAACTATTGCTAAAATCTAAAATTTACATTGCTAAAATGAATAAAAACTATTGTAACTAAGATTAGGGATGAGCAGTGGATATACTGATCTGCCAAAACCGACCGAACCGAACCGAACCGATCCGCCGCATTTTGGACGGATGCATGATGACGAGCGGACGGTTGCGGATTGATTTTCTCCACTCCGCCAATCTGGCAGACGGATGGCGGATTTGAGATTCCTTTGGCCACAATCGAACCGCCAAACCGCAAGCACCCCTAATAATTTATAAGACTTTGTGTTTTTAGTTTGTTTAAATATTCTGTTTGTGTTTTCAATTAAAAAAGAGTTTAAATACTCTGTTGAAAAAAAGTTTTCAACTTAAATATCTTTTTTGAATTGAAAAAAATAAACGTATTATTTATCTATATTTTTTTATTTTAAATCTATCTCTAAAAATAATAAATAGAAAATATGATATATACTAGTTGGTTTTTGTTTTCAAAAACAGATATAGATGTAACAATACAGAGACATACAATCTCTACTACTGCTCTGTTCATGGTTTTGGTGGTTTGAATTGTTTTTATATTTTAAGAACAACAGATTGTAAAACTTTATGTGGATGAGGTATGCTATGATTGTAGTATGTGGATGAGGCATGCAGTGATTATGATATTTTAAAGTTTCAAACTTTTTTGCTTTGGATGAGGCATTCAGTGATTGTAATATTTTTTTAAAGTCATTGACTGTAATACTTTATTCTTCTTTTTTTGAGGAAGTGCACAAGTTGAATTATGTTGAAAATTTATTAAATTTTAAACCGTCAAACCTATTCGCATCCATCCGCCAATCCGCTCAATCCACATCCGCCGAATTAGCGGACGGATGCAGATTGATTTTCTCCAATCCGCCAATCTGGCGGACGGATGGCGGATTGGAGGTTCTGTGGCCGCAACTGACTCGCGCCCACCCCTAACTAAGATCATCCGATTATAAATTTTAATTGATCTTTTTAATAAAAATTTAAAATACCAAAGTTGTCTGGAATTGCGTAGACATGCCTCTGCTTAAATTTCGTAATTTATCGAGGTCGTTTATTTATTTTTCCAGATGTATAAATCAATACAATTCAAACTATACCAATAAGCTCATATTTAATTATTTGTACCTTAACTCTACCACTTCAACCCTTCACTTCCGGCCTAACATCGCTCCGAAACCAAACTTGCATGGAGATATCGTCCCGAGTTTAACCTACACTCCCCATACGGTTAGAATATACGTATGCACGTACATCAAAGTACTCGTCTACTCCTAAGAACGAGACAACAATATATGTATATATATATATATACAACCCCTCATTTACTCATGAGAACAAACATAACAATGCCGAGCCTAAGGCATTCAAATAAATATCATAATCCTCTATTTATTTATATATTTTTTTAAACTTTGCTCAACAACACTCAAATAAAACAACAATTCATGGAGTCATGGTGGAGTATACAAAATTTATCTATGGGTTCCTAATTTATTTTAATTTCATATATCCATGAATGTGAAAATAAATATATATAAAAACTTTAAACCTTGCATACACAATTAACCAAAATAATTGAAATCAATCCATTATCAACATACACGTAAAATATTAAACCAATATCAAATAAATAAAAACAACAAAATAAACATAAATCAAGAAAAGTGGATTTTGCATTCACAATTATTTTTTTGAAGATCAAAGAAATACTTAGAGAATTAATAAAACCATCAAAATAAAACCCTAACCCTTTTGTTTTTCTCTCTACCTCTCCCTTCTCTCGCTCCCTCCCGTCTCTCTTTCTCAGAACTCCCCCGTGCACAAGCCTTTTTTTTTTCCCCCCTCTTTCTAGTGATAGCACCCTTAACCTAATTTACTATTATATTGTATTTTATTATGTTAGGCTTTTATTCTTGGCAACCCCGTTTGACAAAACTTCTTTTAGTTGTATTTGTTTTCGCACTTTTTATTTCAGTGAGGCTACGAGTTTTTAGATGCGAATCCAACCCGAATTGTGCCTTGCAGAGAAGTTTGTGATGTTAATGCTTTCAAGATTGCGACTTCGCTGATTATGACGGGGATCGAGCTGCCCGGTCAGCTCGCAGGGGTCGAGGGGGCAGCGCCCCTTGGTGGGTCTGGGACAGCGCCCAGGCGGGGTCGAGGGGTAGCGCCCCCGAAGCAAAATGCAAAATTGTATTCGAAGTTGCATGTCCGCCCTTGCTTGCTCGAGCGAAGGAGTGCTCGCTCGAGCGAAGGCTGCGTCCGTATAAAAACCTGAAAGAGATGATTTCACGCTCGAGCGCAGGTTGTTTGGCTCGAGCGAAGCCACTTATGGAAAACACGCGTTTTTGGTTCCTCGCTCGAGCGAGAGAGTCTTCACTCGAGCGAGCATCGCGATTCAGATTTCTATAAGTACGGGTTTCTGTTAGATTTTAGGATTACTTATCCAGATCTTCTTCTTGGGTTCTAAGGTTTATATCTGGGGATATTTTGCTGGTTTTCTTTGATGTTTTGATTAAGTATTCAACTCCTGGTTTAAAGAGCATACATCAAAGGATTATTTGTTTGTTCTACACAAAAGAGAGAGTTGTTCTTCGGTGGATTCTGAAGAATTCGAGCTTGAAACTTTGGTGGGTTCCGGAGTGACTCATCGTCAAGACAATTCTGACGTGAAGACGGGGTTGGAAGAGACACATAGAGGTTGGTTCAATTCGAGCATGGATTCGCTAGGTAATTGAGAGTATACCTTTGTAATTCCTTTATATCTTCTTAGTGGATTGTTTTGTGGCTGTTGCCCGTGGTTTTTTTTTATCACAATTGGAGGTGTCCAATTGTGGTTTTTCCACGTAAAATCGTTGTGTCGATTTGTCTTGATTGTGTGATTGGGATTGTTATATACTACTTAAAATTGATACATAATCACAAATCAACATCTAGGGGATTTCTAGATTTTTCAATTGGTATCAGAGCGGGTTGCTCGTTTGTTTTTTAAAACTTTTGAGCGAGAGCTTGTTTGATTTGTGAAAATAGATTCAATTTGTGAGGGAAATTCTATGGTTCGACCACCCCTACTTGACGGATCCAATTATTCTTTTTGGAAAGCTCGGATGAGATCATTTTTGAAATCTATAGATGAAAAAATTTGGCAATCTGTCATGAATGAGTGGACCGAACCAACAGTTACCGTTGATGGAGTAACTTTCCCCAAACCAATTGAAAAGTAGGACATAATTAATTACCAAAATAGTAGCTGGAATAGTAAAGCTATCAATTTTCTCTTTTGCGCTGTCACACCTGAAGAGTTTAGTCGAATTTGCAATTGTGAAGTTGCAAAAGAGGCTTGGGATATCTTACAAACTATTCATGAGGGCACTCCTTCTGTTAAACGCTTAAAACTTCAAAGGCT